ACATTTTGCAAAAGGTAAAGCATGGATCTGAAGATAATGCAGAAAAATGCTCAGAGGATAAGGATAACTTGCCAAAAAGAAAACGCTATCGGTTAATTAATAGTGTTTTTAGTGATGACGAAGAAAACATTGTTTAATTTATATTAATATGTATCACTTAAAAAAATTTTAATGAAGATATACTAGCATGTTTTTTAATTTTTGGAACCTAACCCTCCTTTTCGTATTAGTTCTTTGTTTCGTATAACACGGATTTGCATAACATGGCAATTTTTTGGAACATAACTACCGTGTTATATGGGGGTTACCTGTATTATAATGTAGACCTTTCATTTATTATAAATTATATTTTTAAAACATTGAATTATAGGTTATTCAAGTTTAAGTAACTTGCTGTCAACAGAGTCAATCACTACCAAACAATTAAAAATTAAATTCTTCAGGTTTTAAATTAAGTGTAGCATCATTTTTTATAATTAACTATTTTATTGCTTTCTGAAAATGTTGCTTTGACAAATATCTTATTTTAGGAATATCTTTGGAAAATACAATAATATTTAATGTTTAATTATAAAAATATGTAGAAACAAATTCAAGCATTTGATCTATCTAATAATTTGCTGATAATTGTTTTTAATCAATTAAAGAATTCTTTGAAATGTTTTGTATAATAGAAATATAACTCAGATATCATATCAATTTCCTTATCTTTGCAAAATTGTAATACTTTTCATTACAAATATTTTAATCTTACCTTGATGTATTAACCATGCTTTTGAAAATTTCATGGACTGTAAAATTCCATAATTTAATCTTTTCAACTATTAATAACTTAAATCATCTTACTATACAAAACAGTTAACTAGCAAGTATCTTAACATTGATGAGATTATATATCATTGAATAAATATTAATTGATTAATTTTTGTATTAGTATAACAAAAAAAAATTTCTATTTCAGAAATCTAGTTATGCTTTAAATTAGATTTTAAATAAATTAAATCCAACTTTTTAATTCAGTTAAAAAATTTTTAAAACTGGATTAACAAGTATGATATACAGGATATATCACATCTGTTTAATCTAATTTTAAAAATCAACTGAATAAATAAAATAAATCCAACTTTTTAAAAGTTTATAAATTAATTTCTCATAAATGTTAGCTTTTAATTCTGAACTATTATTTATTAAACCAACAGTAATGTAATCTCATCCAAAAATATACTAAATATTATTCCATCTATTATAATTTATTTATAAAAGATACAAATAAATGTTTATAATTTTTGAGTATTTATAAATATTTTATGGATGTAAATGAATTGCAATTCACTCATTATTATTGGAGGGAATTAAATTTATCCTTAAACAACTTGCTGTTAACTTTGACTAGAATATTGATTATCAGATAATCAATACAACCAACACAAAATAGATGGTTATCTGTTTGTAACAAACAAAGATAAAATTCTCCAGAGATTTAAAAATTTAATTATCATCACCATATAACAATCCACTTCATGATCTGATATTCATTAAAAATTTTATCTATAAAAGTAAACAATTTATTGATTTTAGTTTAATTAATGTAACTGTAATAATGAACATTATTTAAAAAAAAAAAATGATTACTACTACTTTTTCTGGAATAAAGCTGGCAACATTATGATTTAAATTGTCTGGCAAATAAAAGTGCTAAAGTGCAGTTACTGGGAAGTTGCCAGAAAGATCTAATATTGTCTCTGATTGCAAATATTTTTATTGATTTTTATAAGAATGTCTTAAATTTAGAACAAATAGATTATAATTTGATTTTGGAACATTAAGATTAAATATATAACTGATTATATTCACTAATTTTACTAGAATATTAAATAAGATATCAAGTTATCAAAAATATCAGCAAGAATCATGTTTTTAGAATTGCTTTTACATTCTCTGATAACAGATTATCTGACATTCCAAAACATTATTCTTCAAATATAGTGAAGGACAAGGGACGTCCAGAAAGTAAAGAACATTTGGCTATCTTTTAGGAAAACAATTTTATTTTTTCCTATTATTAACACCTTCCAGTTTTTTTGAAATTTTTTAACATTTTGATAATCCATGAGGAAAAACAAAAAAAACTGTTACAAAACTGTATTTGTGTGTGTCAACACCTATTTTGCATTCTATCTCAGGACTAGACGAATCTAAAATTCTAAAACTTTGCAAGGTTATTTCTATATATGTGGCATTGATGCTATTAAATTTTAGTGAGTACAGATCAGGGGATGGAGAGATAAAAAGGGTCGTGTGCCATATTCCAAGTGGGGTCAAGCTTAATGAAAATTTTATTGGTTATTAGTATTTACAACTTTTTAAAAAACTTGCCCATCCTCAAAAATATGCCTTTTGCCTTTTTATAAGAATTAATAATAGAAAAATTATTTTTAAATAAAATATTATAACAGATGGTACCATACAATTTTAGCTTTGAGCTGATGTCTTAGAAAAAAATATTTAGGTTTAAAAAACATTACTTCAAATTTTTTCTGTGCATTCAAATAACATCATTTCATTTGATTTTTCAGTAGTATTAATAAAAGGAGGAAAAAATAAATAACTTTTTGTAAAATAAACAAAATTCTAATGTAAATTTTTCATTATAATCTGCAGTGTAACATTGCTGTCCTGTTATGTCAGTAATAATATAAATTGATTAGCCTAAATTTTTTGTTCATTACATAGCTAATTAAATGATATGTTTGAAAACCGAGGTTTGACTATATAATTTCATTCCTAAAGTTGTTCAAAAACCAATTTGTTGTAAAACTGAAACAAATTTCCCCATAAGAAATAATGTAAAATGACTATTATTGACTTATTCCAAACCATGTCTTCCTTTGATTATTCTTTACTTCACAACTGGGTGCACAGGTAGACAGTAGACATCTTTAACATCACTTTTTATTCAAGAATATCTTACACACTGTGAGATTGCAAGGGCACAGGGTCAATTCCTAATTGCCTCTTACATGTCAAGTTGGTAAAACTTGCCCACTTTGTCCTTTGAATGGCTTTCTATCGAGTGGCGAGGGGGTGAGCAAGTCGGCAGGCATCCTTTCAAAGACAGGAGACAGGTTTAACAAAATAACAAAGCATTTATTGATTAACTAACTCCTGATTATAGGAGGCTATATAAGTGGTAAGGTTAAATGCGATTATGAGCTATACTATTTACACCAAAATGGGCGACTAATCTCTAAACTATGTCGCTGGCCTAATCTCTAGTTTGAGAGAGAGTTTTTACAAATTCTAATAGCCCCTAAATACCTCTCGGGTGTAACAGAGAGTCGATATGGAGAACAGCATTTGTATGGAAGAGGTAGGAGTCCTCAGTATCTTCCAACCAGTGTCATCTCCTCCCCCCTTTTTTTTTGCTGGATCGGGTCCACTATATGGAGGTCCAGGAGTCGAGGTGGCACTATTACCAATTATAACTTCCCCCGAAGCTTCTGGTAGCTCACACTTGCCCCGAGCTTCTGGTAGCTCACACTTGCCCCGAGCTTCTGGTAGCTCACACTTTTATACTATTGTTGTGGGAAAGATGTCACGTGATCGTCAAGTGTTGACACTGACAAAGCGTTTTTGATAGCCATGTGTCAACTTTCCCACTGACTTGTTTTTATAACTGGTGACCTCCCATCTGATTCTCCATTTTTTTCTATTGGGGATATTTATTTGGAAAAACGATTAACATTAATCTGAAAATCCCCTTTAAAATCCATGGGCTCTCTCACACATCAATATGCATTTCGGGCATACACCCCTCTTCCATTAGATTTTTCTTTAAGACATTTAGTAAAGAGGTGCTAACTAATACACATCCTTTTTTAAAATACATATATTTACAGTTAAAATTTCCCAACAGTGTACTGAACAACAGTTCACTGTATGAGAGGTGTATGCCCAAAACACATATCAGTGTGTAAGATGTTGTCTGAAGTGTCTGAATGATGTTAAAGTTGCCCAGTGTCTACCTATGCATCCAGTTGTGAAGTAAAGAATAATATGAAATGAATTAATCTGTTCCTGACCACCAAAATAAAAAAAGAAAAAACTTTTACCTTTTTAGTTGTATTTCATGCATAAAAATGCCTACAAATGCAATGTAATATTATATTAAGTCAAATTAAATAACAAAAATTTACTAAGTACTTTATACACAAATTTTTGGATGCCATTTATATTACATGAATATCAATTAATGTGGTTTTTATTAATTAATTTTATTTAAATTTAACTGGGCTAAGGTAATCTCAGCACCACTAACTTCTGAATCAGTAGTCCTATTGTTGATTGGTTGGGCCATTGACTTTCTTTAACATAGGAAGTAAAGGAATTGACTATCTGTATCTCTTTAATCAGTGGTCTGCTCTTGCCAAATAGCCTGTTCAGCAACCAGGGCAAATATGAATTTGAAGTTACTTTTCAAACAAATTGGTTCACAAACTGGATTTATTCAAACAATACAAACTGGAGTCAATACAAGGTTTGACTGTATTTACAATTCATCATTATAACAATATATATAGTTAGTGATATTGCTTTGTTAGATAATTCTAAAGAATATCTATTGAAATTAGATTATAAAATTCTTAAGTAGTAATCTTTTTGAAATCAACTATTCAATAAAGTTACTTGTTAGCAAAGAAACAAATAGATCACTGATAACAAAGCTAATTTAATCAAATCAGAATATTTCTTATAATTTTTTCCCTCAAACCTATTTTTATATTCAACAAATTTAGATGAAAAATTTTATTGACCAATACGTAGAAAATTTTTGTCAATATTATGTTCAATTCCTTTTGGTATTATTTTTTTACCATTATAATTTAAATTATTTTGATTTTTATACTGTAATTTATAACAATAGAATTTCTGTTAAAATTTTTTAAAAATTATGTACCAGTTATCAGAGTTTAGGATTTCTAGATGAACTTAACATTTAAAATCATGATTGAAACTGTATAATGTTTGATCTAATAGTAACATTAACAAAATTTGTTGCTAATCTAAATCAAACTAAATTTTCTATTTATGCAATGACATTCTATCTCTGTGGGTGTCATTAAATTTTGTCTTCTTTTCTCTCAGCATTTTAGGAAATTGATCTTTCTTTTTATCTATATGCCTTCCTATAAATGTGTTTCTTTGCATTTTATAGAAAAATTCACAAAAACATAGAAATTTCTTTCAAATGACAACAAAAGTTTGTTTTAGCAAACAAATCTGTAATGCCATTAAAAACATGTCCTAAATAATGATGTGCAACTGGCTAAAATCAGTCATGATGATGTTACCATTTAATCAGTCTCTCTCCACTCGAATACTGATAATTGGGCTGCAATTTGAAAACTGCAGACATAAATTTCCATTGTCCTTCATTAACTTTGCAGATGGAATTAGATATAAAAAAATTGAGACCAGAGGCCCAGATTAATTTTTAAATTAAAATATGATTAAAATCTGCAGTCTGGCATTGTGATGATGTCACAATAAATAATTAAGATATTTTAGTTTATTGCTTCCAATGTAGAATCTTAAAAAATATTCATGTTGTAAGTATTTATTTTAAAAAATCTCATTATTATTAGTTCCCCATCTATATTCAGAGTTTCTTTAAAATATAATTAATACCTCTGGAGATATATCATTTTAAACTGTTTTGTTGCCAATTGTTCTGTTAAGAAATACTCTCATCATCATTTGACAGAAATTTTTTAACTTCTGAAAATATTTCTATAAAATACCATGGAAAAAGTCTATACAAAGATGATAAAATAAATTTTGTTTTACGTTCATCATTTTTCTTTGCCATTTTGATCATCTCTTATGGCATAAGAAATGATCAAAAGAATAGTGTCATGAATTGCATAAGTCTTATGCAATTCATGACACTAGAAGAGAAGCAATTATTCAATGTATATAGTTTCCAACTACCACATGTATCAATGTTTAACAAAACCACATAAAATATAAAATGGGTTTGAAAACTATCTTAAGATAACTCAAGCATTGCAGGGTACACTGGCTAGTTGATTATATATAAAAACCTATTAATTGTATCAATTATTCTAATAATCATCATTTACTATCAAATAAAGGTTGTAATATTAAGGTCAAATAAACATAATAAGTCAAAGGTCAAATAAAGAAATACTACAATTTAATTCTAGCATGATGGCTTTTATTCAAATATGATGACTTTTATTTTGATTGGTATTTTTCAATTTTGTATTTTTTAACAATATAAAATATTAAAAATTAATTTATTAACAATTTTTTGTTTTGTTGATTTTATATGCAGTAAGACCAAAATCAATAGCATTGGATACTAAACCAAGAGAAAAGATAAGCAATGGTCCTGTTGAACAAAAAAAATCAAGTATGTTAATAAAATCTATTATATATCAAGAATACCTAATAATTTATCAAAATTTATGTTTAGTAGTTCATAAAATTAATTAGAAATAAATTTAAAACTTTGTAGATTTAAATTAAATTCCAAGTATTATATATTAAAATATTCATAGAATTTCAAACTGATGGTGATGAAAGTACACAGGAATCAGATCCTTTACTTCCAGAAAAAGAAAGTCCTACCAAAGAATTGAAAACAGGAGAAGGAAAAAAGAGTGATGCTGCTGCTCGACCCCAAACGCTTCCAAATATGACCGACACAGAAAATCTAGTAAATGGAATATGTTCTCCAAGTAAGTTTTTTTTTAGTAATTTTGAAAAAATTAACACACACTTCCAACTTACAATACACAAAACAAATAATGTTAATAATTTATTTGAAATTTGAAAGCTTTTTCTATATTGAATAGCTCACCAGTGACGTCAACCTTTGACCTCACGGACCACTAAACTCACAATTTTGAAACCCATGGACCCAGTGTCTTGTTTTTTTTTTTTTTTTTAAACAATAGAATAATGATCATAAAAGTTCCATTTTTCTTTATTTTACTTTATTAATATGAAATTCACTTATTTAATTATAACAAATTAGTGTGAAGTTTGTTGCTGCAGGTTTGAAATAAGTTTAGGGATTCTTGGCTCTTTTTCATGTGTAAAGTACTATATTATTTTTCCGACTTTTCCAACGATTATCGACACGACTGTGTGCCGGAAATAGCCGTTCCCTAATGGGTACTTTACGCGGATTCGCATTAGTGTGCCAGGCCTGGACTTTTAGCGTGCACCAAAATTAAATAATGACAAAGTTTGTCAATAACAAATCAAATATTTAATAAAAGTTCTAGTAATAAACTATATACAAAATTTAGTAAAACCAAAACAACAATTTATTCAATGAAAATCAATTAGAATCAACCCGACAAAACTCAAATCAAGCTAGTTTCTAACTTAATTCTATTCCCCTTTGGAATTTGACAAAATCAAAGACTTAATTTATATACAATAATTCTTATGAATTAAAGATCCTAATCGTCACCTCAATATACTAGGAACCTATTTCCTCAACTCTCAAGATTTTCTCTATTCGTCGATCCACAAATCGAATAACTTCAAAATTGCCTTGGAACTATTTTATCCTATCGGACACCTCTCTCGTTCACTGCTACGAAGCTCACCAAGCTCGTTGCTAACTAGAGTTCACCTCGGTCATCTTCACTTGACATTCGGACTTTACTCTCTGAGGTGACGTCACAATTCTGACTGTGATCACTCCCCTCATTTACATACTTATTCGCTAACAATAAACTTTTTCTATTTGTCTGGCAGCCTATTTTCCGACAATACTCGCTTACCTTTTACATTATTCTTTTTAACAATTTTCGAGATGTTTTTATTCTTTAAGGTTTAGCGAGTCCCTAAGTTGTGCTTGTGGGGTCTTTCCCCCCTTTTCTCGGTGCGGACTTACTTTTTTCTGCTCGGGAGCGCAAGGATGCGCGAGTTTTTTTTCTACGGCGCTTTTCTTTCGTTGGTGAGTTGGTTTCTCTTCTATTTTTAAGTTTCTAAGGTGAATGGTGAGGAAACCTTCGTCCTAACAAAACATAAGTCCCAAACAAAAATATAATAAAAAGCAAAAATAAAAGTAAATAAAATTAATGCTCGGACTTGGTTCCTTACACATGAAGGATGACAATTGCACTCACATTACTTTCATTGATTATTTATTGACATTATTATTTATTGATAAGTCATTTGTATTTGGTTTAAAATTTGAATAATAAATCCCCAATGAGTGAGAAAAAGCAACCAAGCATTTTGTGTTTCTTTCATAATATTTCATGTAACTTTGAGTTGATCAATGTCCAAATTTCTACATGGTCTACCATTTGGCAACCACTGGAATAGTCAATGAGATCATTAGTTGATTTTGTTATAAGTCAGATATCTTATACTAATGAATAGCTTCCATGGTTTCATTAACAGCCATCATCATCCACAGTAATACCAGACTTATTGTACCAGGAATTATCTCTTGATTACGAAATCATCAACATTTATTGATTCATTTTATATGGGGAATGCATTTTGGACCATTTTGACCCTCATCAGCCCCTATACAAGTTACATACAGTGGGTGATCAGTTAACGAACAGTTCAGATAGTGAACGAATCGGACAACAAACACATGTTCAGATAACGAACATAAAAAGAAGCGATGGAAAATAACGAAAACCGATTGATTTTCCCTTGTCTTCAAGTAACAATTTGAAACCTTTCAGAGCACGGGAGACGTCAACACTCAACCCGATACTGATAGAGTTTTAAAATTCAGAGGAATATTAATACTACTCAACCTTTTAATTCCAACTTTTTTTTTACCTTTCTGACAAATAATTTTTTATAGTATTTGCAAGACTGTCGGATGGGCACTTGTTAAATTTTGCATCAGGATTTATTTACGAAAGGTGAAAGTTTAACTGTCCCATCGGATATTCATTAACGTTTTAATACCAAATTTCAAATTTCATCCGGGCCTTGCATTTAAATAATTTTTTGAGGGCTAGTTGATTTCTGTTCTCTGAACTTTTGAAGCTGATAATATTATGGAGCCTAAAAAGAGGAGTGTCAAGAACTGTGCTCACCATAGAAACCAAGTAAGAGATAATAGCCAAGGTAGAAAGTGGGCACAAGATGGCTGATGTTGCTAGGCAGTATGGCTTGAACAGGTCTACAGTAGGCACAATCTTAGCTATGAAAGATATATCAAGAAGTCTCAAGCTGCTAATAGAGTAATGAAAATCACATCTGAGAAATAGAGAGCATTTTAGAGCTCATAATGAAACCTGAAACTGATCTGACAACAGAAGAACTCCAAGAACTCTCAAATGAAGAATACCAAGAAACTCAGTGAGATGTGTTTTCTTTTGAAAAAGAGGACCAATGTCGACATCTGCTACTAAAGATCTTTTGAAGTGGGAGGATGTCAAAACAATGATCATCCAAGTGGCATCCAAACCAGAATATGGTTAATAGGGTTGGAGATCTCTACAATTACAATGCTATTAATTACTTCTGAAAAATCCTGAAGAAGAGAGAAACACAATTGACATTAGACAGATTCTTTAACCCCCACAAACGGAAAAAACATGACTAATAAAAATGCAAGACCGCATATATATGTATTTTTACTATTACATATAAATAAATGTAGTAAAAAAGTATATATTTTTTTATTTTTTGGAGTCTCCGGAATGAATTAATCAAATTCCCATAAAAACCTACGGTACATTGATAATTGGTTAACAAACAATTCGGATAACGAACAAAGTCTTGGAATGGATTATATTCATTAACCGATCATCCACTGTATTGTCAATCATCATGCATCATTTTAGACAAATGAACATACATAGATAAGTATTCTACTTACACTTTTTGATGATGACTACTTTATAAACAAAAAGCAAAAAAATTTGGACATTTGGAAAGAGAAAAATATAGTCTATGATTTAACTGTAATTGTGCTAATGCACCTGTGCATGTAGGAGAAACTGGTAGGGAACTTAAAATTAGAATAAAAGAACAATATTGCAGCAATAAAATACAATAACAATTCGTCTGCAGTAGCAGAACATTGCAACAATAACAATTGTGAAATAGTTAAAGATTCTGTTAAAAGAATTAAAAAACAAAATAGTTTTAAAAGAAGGCTCTATGAACATATTGAAATTATAAAGTTAAAAGAAACAAAAAATGAATAATAATAATGGCTTACAAATACATAGTTTTTGGTATGCTATTTTAAACACCAGAAGGGGATATACAATTATGATTAGGGAAAAACATGGGTGAGAGGGAGGGGGGCTGTAAAAAGTGGTTTGGAACAGGAAATGATAAAAAATGTGATTCTGAAGGTTTAATATTTGTTGTTGTATATTAAAAAAAATTGGTTGTTTTGTTTTTTAAACAGATAAGGTAGTCATCATCAAAAAGTGATCAAAATTCATCAAAAGTGATCAAAAGTCATCAAAATTCTTATCTATGTATATTCATTTGTCTAAAATGATGCATGATGATTGATAATATATAACATTATAGGCTAATGAGAGACAAAATGATCCAAAATACATTCCCCATATAAAGTGAATCAATAAATGTTGATTTCCTAATCAAGTAATAATTCCTATCCTGGTATAATAAGTCTGGTATTACTGTGGATGACAATGGCCATTAATGATTCTGTGAAACAACAACCAGGCATGAAGCAAATACAGGAAGAGCTTCCAATGAAATACTTAACTGTATATGAATAACTATAGATTATACAATATACAAGAAACTTTTATTAATCTTGATAACAATCAATTGAAAGGAAGTACAATTTTGTTTATATATATTTTTAATAATATAAGCACGCTGCTTATATTATATTAATGTTTCTCATGCATAATGTTTTAATAAGTTTATAGGATTTTGATCATAAAAGGAGAGTGATATATAAAATACTGAAATTTATGATAAAATGTCTATTTTTAATTTTAAAAAAATAGTTTCTATATATATAAAATAACTAATGGCAAAAATGCCTTTCCATCAAATTTACTTATTCTCATTTACAGGATTATGATAAAAGCATTGAAAATACTCACTTTATAGTACATTTTTCCAAGAAATCTGCAGACTTTTTTTTATTATCAGTATAAAAATAAATATAAAATAGACAATTAATTCATAATCCTCCTAGTCATCACTTGCAGAACAAACTTTACATTTTCTTTCTCTTAATTTTAATGATTTAAACAAAGTATAGATGCTCTATAGTGAATCTAACAAAATAAACAGAATTAGAAATTGAAAACATTTTAAATTCTATTTCTCTAAAATCAGCTTTGTCAGTTTTTTGGAGAAGGTTAATACCATTATGATATATTAAACTAATGATTTGATTTTACCATTATTATATGCTGTAATAAACAAAGTGGCATTTCTATAATATATTACATCAATGACTTATTTGCCTATAATTATTTAAATCATCTGAGTTTTTTTACAAAATTGTTTTGAGAAATATCATTTTAATTTGTAACCGCTTCTTTTTTTAGGCCCTCCAGTCCTCCGCCCTAAACTGCCTAATCGACCAGTGCCTCTTACTACAGTTAAATCCCCAGAAGAAGTTACTGGAGTTAGGTCACCTGATCCAGCCACATGGACAGTTCCATTAGAAACTGGTAAAGGATTACAATGGACTGATGGGAAGACACCAAGTAATGATAATTATTTAACTTAGTCAATTCAGAATAATTAACCCTTTTGTTAATCCATGCTTAATACATAAGAATTTTATTAGATTTAGTTTATTTAACAAAAATTCAACCTTAACTATTAAAATGTATATTATAAACAATTATCCTAAATTGAATAATTTCTAGAGAAATGTATATTCATAAGTGAATTTGCCTATATCATGTATATCATATAGTTAAAATGAATTTATCTATATTGTCATAAAGTAAAAATGCCAAACTAAATGTTAATGATGTTAATTTTAATGACCTTGACCTATTTTCTGAAAGCTGGAAATCAATTTTAAATGTTGAAGGTTAGGAATTTTTCAAATTACTTAAGCTAATCAGGTATAAAACAATTCTTGTATCAATATATGAATGAAAATTATCAAGAAATGTATTGATATTTGCAATTTGTGTATCACAATACTAATTTAAAATATTCTATTTTGCAACATTGTGCTATGGTAAAAAGGAATTGAAAACTTGATTAAGAAATAATATAACATGCTATCTTTAACTTCTGCAACAACTTGATATCAACTCATTTCTCATCAGTGTTTGTTAGTAGTTTGGATATTAGTTATTTTATAGATACATATTTTCAAATTAACTCAGAAGTATTATTTAACTATAATCTTTTTAAGTTAGAGTTTGTAGTTGTTTGACTTCCAAAATGAAGTCCTTCAAATGACTGTTATCAGAGAGATTTGTATTTCTCTAGAAATTTCTAGAAATTAAGGAAGTTTTCTAATTTCAAATAATGTATGTATGATTTTATTATTAATTTTAAAATTAAATGAATTTATTCTGTACACATCAAAATCTAAAACTTTACAGGAAATATTTAAGATAAGTGTGTGCAAAAGGGTTAAATACTGTTAATTTGACCAAAATAGTTTAGTCATCAACACTTTGACTAAATGTGAATTACAAAATTTTGGTTTGTTTAGGTGGTGTCTCTACAGGAGATAGCATTGCTCCATAGAAAAGGACTGTTTGCCAAGGCACCAGTTATTTATAAACTAGTATTCTTCAATCTTACAACTCAAGACAGGATTGATGTAAGAAAGTTCATTTCCAGATATGCAAATGACAAGAGCAAAAACAAAAATAAATTTTTCTGGATTTTTAGTTCCATGTATTTTTCAATAATTGATATTTTCCATATGGTATTTTAAGAAAATACATGCAAAACATTTAAAAATTCAGTCAGTTAAGATCATAAGTTAGCCTTGTTAAATGAAATATCAAAAAATAAAAAAAAAGGTGGTTTTGAAAAAAAGAAATAAATTATATAAATATATATATATATACAAATTGAAACTTCTAAAAAAAGAAAAAAAGGAAACATTTTTGAAATTTGTATAACAAAAAAATTAATAGCAAATTTAATTTTTTGTCAATATGTCATTGCAGAATTAAAAACAAAAAAAAAAAAATATGTAATTTGGTTTGAAATTTCTCATATATCCTTCCAAGAATGAAACATTATTCGTCCTGTATATTTTATATAAGATATCATTGTACTATGTTATTGTGTACTGCATATCAGATATTTTTTAAATATTTTGCTAAACTGCCATGATGATATAACCGACCAACATAAAATTATTTGGCAGGGGTGTCAAATACTGCTATTTTACAAATATCATTCTGAAAAAACCATCAATCATTCTCTGCTCAGAATTTATTTTTTACACACATTTAATAAATCTACTTACTTTACAATATTAAATTATGTAATTCTTTGAAAACACAGCAAATTAATAAAAAAAAATAAAGCAATAAGAATGAATTTTATATAATTTAGTTTTTTGACACCCCTGCATTTGTTTACTGTGGAAAATTTTCAATTACTATAAATACATTTTTCTGTTTTCAAAAAAAAATATATAGTAATTTACGATTCTGTTATATATCAATTCCTAAAGCTCAGGGAGTGGATTTTACGGAGGATAAGTTGAATTTGATGAAACAAGAATTGATTCTTGTAATTTTTTCACTATTAGCAAACAGATTAAAGGCTTGGAAAAAAAAAGAAATACTTCCACATATACACACACAAAAAAAAACACACATACACATACACAAACAAGAAGACTTTGTGATTTACAAAACAAAGAAATACTTTCTGCAAGATAGGAAAATTGCTTAAAGCTAAATAATATTTAATGCAAAAAAATAAACAGATTACAGTTTGCCTCTACAAAGATGCTGATTGTATTGCTTGTAGGATTGATTAAAGAAAATTAAGAAGCTCATCACTTGCAACAGGCAACAATTCATTCCAAATGTACTTCCTGATAAAAAAAAAAGTTTAAGTCTATGTTGAAATACTATGCTGCATTTGAGCAGTGTAGCACTTAATGTTGCTCATCACTTAACAGGTAAAATTTATTGTGTGGTAATTATGTTTTAAGTATGGTAAAATTATTTATTCATGTATGAACAATCTACCATAGATGAATGTGATATTTTAGATTCTTTGTATATACAGGGTAATTTTGTTCATAAATGCTATTTCTTTTTTGATAGATTTTTATTATTTTTATGATAAATTGTATTTAAAATAGTCTTATAGTTAAAAAATTTGAAATGTTTCAACTTGTTTCTTGTATAAGACAATAAACTTTTCTATGCTTACAGCTTTGTTAAGTGTTCATGATTTATTTTAAATACACAGGTTGTAATTATTTTTAATGGATATGTAAAACCAAATTTATTTGCAGACTTAAAGTAAATTAAATTCATGTCATAAAAATGACAAAAAAAAAAAAAAAACAGTTTCAGCTTAAAAAACATAGTAGTAATGATTTCTATTCAGTAAAATATTAAACAATCACAGAATTTTTATTCTCTCAATCATTTAGATATGAAAAATTCTTAATAAAAACATAATATATGTATAATTATATCCTGCAAGATTTCAAAATTATTACATATCCTTGCTACACCAATGATTTTCAATGTAGCCACTTTGATCTTGCCATAGATGTGAATATTTTATTTACTGGTATCTTATGAAATTATTATTGTTGATATAATAATATAATTTTTGGAAGTATGTGCACGTACTCGTACTGTACATACTGTATTAAGTCTCAAGTCATTTATATGTATATGTATATTGAGGAACTTCACTTTTTGTTATACATGAAGGAGTGTTTTACTTTTTGCCTTAGGTATCAAATTTTGTCACCACTGAAAATACTCTCTCAATATAGAAAATATAATTATTATATTCTAAAAATCTTAATAAATTCTTTATTTGTATAAAATTTTTATCTTACATTTAAATAAAAAAGTTTTCAATAACAATTTCAAAATATACATTATCTACTTTTTTACATTTTCACCATATCTTTATTATTCATTGGGAGAACAGGTTTTTGCTCCTGTATCTAAAGAAAAAAAAGCTGTTGTTATTTAACACAATAAGCAAATATTTAAAAATTTGTTTTCTGAAACCGTGTTTTAGTATTTATTGACTGTTGAACACAAAAAAGCCAAGTGTTTAATTAATAACACAATCTTGTGTTCAATAGGCAATAAATATTTAAAAAGATAAATTTAAATAATAACCTTGAAATGAGTGTATAAAAATATGCCAACAAACGTCATGAATATACCCAAAAGCTGTATGCTTTGAACGGTATCTTGAAACAACATGTATCCACCTATAAGAGTAAGGCAAAATTTCATCTGTCCAATGACATTGTAACTATTGTCTCATCAAGGATTTAACAGTTTGAAAAATAGAAAATTCATAATAATTGCATGCTAATGTAAATATAATTTTGTTAGCACTTTTTAATTTTCTTAATATAAAATTTATAGATCAGAGGAAAAATTTTTTCCCACTCTCTAAAATGAATAAAGTCAGTTTATATTTCTTAATAGTTAGTGATTAAATATAAATATTTTTCTTAATTAAATTACTGAAGATTTACATAAAATTTCTTAATTAATGATTATTATTTTGTTTAGATCTTTTAAAAAGTTTTTAAAAATATAAATTGCTTAACAATTTAATGAATTTTGTTAGCTTTATAAAAGTAATACAATAAAATTTTTAATTTCTTATAATTTTGAGGAGCCAAAATTTACAATTTGACCAAAAATATTTTCTTTAGTTTTTTAATAATTAATATACTAATGATCAACAAGAAATGATAAGACAGTAAAGAGTTAATTATATGAGAGTACTAGATACTTTACATCTTTTATTATCATTTGTGATATTTTAAACTGTCTATAATATATAATTTGTAGTGAGTTAATGCATGTTCAAAATACAGAACAACATATCTCATTCATTGACATAGGAAAAAAGGAAGGTATAGCTGGTATCATTGAAAAAGGGACCTAGTAAACCTTAAAGCTGGATTGAGGCAAATACCAAAGAAAAGTCCAGTATACATTGAGATACAAACCCAAACCATCCTCTAGAAGTCAGATGCTATACTGATTGAGTCATTTTAATTAACGTGTAAGATTTGTAACAAAAGTAAACTAATAATGTGTTTAAATGTTACAAAATTTTGTGATTTATTCAGAAACTTGAAATATTCGATAGACCAGAATTTATATTTTCTTTGTTGAGTTGAAATATGTAGTGTGCATTTTTATGATTTAGTTAATTAATTATCATTCTTTTGATTCATAAGAGACCTTAATTTTTAAATTAATGGCAATAATCTTTAAGCATTTACTAACATCAACTTTTTAATCTTTCATATGAATCAAATATTTAGGTAAAATATTTCATTCACATGATGCATAAATATTTGTTTAATAGATTCAAATGTGACTTTTTAAATTTTTGAATCAGCAACTAAATTTATAGTCCTTTAATTATTATTTTAAAATTCAACATATTTCTCTCAAAATTAAATATTCTAATTTCAAATGTCATTTTCTAAATTTAGAATATGAGCTTTTGAAATCATTATTTTCTAATGGCTTTTAAAGTATTAGTATCATATGAAAATAATACTTTGACTTGTATAAAGTATTATAATAATACTTTATACAGATAAAGTAGTATAGCAATTGAAAATTATTTCTGTACAAAATATATTCATAAGTTTAATGCTTTCTTACAATCTTAAACACTTTAAAGATATTTTAAAAATATACATATTCAGTATAATATATTTGAAAAGCATTGATCTTTGGATACATTATACTTAATATGCTTACAAACAACCCATTATATGTTTATTTTTTATATACACTATTAAAATAATAAAAGTATAGATTACATTATTTAAGTTTTTGCTTTAAATAGTATTTCGTATGAATAAAGAGACTTATCTGACACTTAAAGGATACGTTACTGCTGAAGTATTACCGATAATCCAGTAAATAGAAAGATTGACCAAGAAGGCTACAATTCCAGATGACAAGACTGTGATCTAACATGAAGATAAATAGATAAATTTCCAGAAGAATCTAAAAATTATAAATTTTTATTTAACATTATTCCAAATCATATTAAAGAGAAGCTTTTCAATTAGTTTTTCAAAGAAATTTTTTAAAAACTTCAGATCTATTTTGTTCATTTCTTTTTATAAAAATGAATTGCCACATTATATCTGATGACAATATTATTGCAAAATTTCAAGTAAATTTTTAAATTCTGTTTATAATTATCATTATTTATTAATTTTTAAGAAAACACTTTTCTTAATCATTTATCATGAATGCAAAATGTATTTTAGTTTGCATTCTGCTGTGTATTCAAATGCTTTTTTCTATCTGAATTGCCAATTAACCAAACCACAATCAAGGAATGTAAGCTTGGATTTTGACATATGCTCCCTCTATTTGTTGATGGCCTACAGGTCACATCCAGCCCTATTCTATTTGTTAATTACAGTATTTTCTCTAGCATTCTTCCCTACATGATTTGTCTTGATTCATTTGTGCGTGTTCAATAGCAGTAGTATAGAACAGCATTGAGTTTCGGAAAATATTTTTTTAGTATATCAAATCAAATGTAGTGAAATCATTGTAAAAAAATGCGTTAAAATATCAGTGAACCTGCTATAAACTGGTGTGCTTTATTGAAAGCATTGTGAATGATACATTTGTAATGTAGCTACATCACTAATAGACATCATTGGCAGGATACAATTATATTGTGAATAAAAATTTATTGAATAAATTTACTTTTCCAGCTCATGACTTAAACTCAAAAGTGTAATTTGGCCATATACTAAAAAAGTTTATCCATCCCAGCCTATATTATTATTGTTTTTGTTCAATCCAGCCTGTTTACAGCTGTCGTCGTTGTCAAAAATAAATATTTACTGTTGTGTTCTGTTTGACTTTCAAACTCATTCTATTTTCTACAGACATTAAAATATTTATTATGTCAAATACCATATTTCCATACACATAACCCACAATAGATACATACTACAGAAGACTGCTAGAACAAAAGTGAAACTTTTGCATAACAAGCCTCATTATATACTCGGAGCAACCATTGTTCCATAGGCATAAGTTCATCGCTGTAATTTAAAACTGGCATATAACCCACACCCCATTAAAAACTATCTTTTAAAATACTGATGACCTGTGAGATGCATGCATGAAAATATGATAAACAAAAAATATTGTCCGATAAAAGTCAAAGAAAAGTCATTTGCTGACGAAAAGTACGATCAGAAAAGAAGTTGTCAAAAATATATATCTTATAATAATACATTACACTAATAAAGGTGTTTAAATAATGTTTTTATGGATAAGAATATTTTTCTTTAATCAAAAATTTATACAAACTTTATCATGAATTAGTTTGAATCATTGGAATTCTACTGTACTGTACTACTCCAAATTTAAGATATACTTTTTCCCATGATTAACAAACAGAAAATACTATAAAACTTCATATAATGAAAGATTTTTGAAGAGTGACAAGGAATACTGAAAATTTAAGAAGAATTTGTGAATTTAAAATACTCAAAAAAATTATTACAATGCTATGATGACTTGAAGAATTTTTTTTATTTGAATGATAATTTAAAAAGTTAATTCCAGGTAAAAGAAATTAGTTAATTTTTCTAGATAAGAAGGATAATGACTTGCAAGAACATATTCATATATTTATATTTAAGTAAAATGTAAGATTCAAAGAAGCAAAGAATTAAAAACACAACTATAAATAGTATGTGTTAATTTAATATTTGTGAATCTTGAATTTAACTGCAAGGTTTGAGAAATTAATTTATATTCAGATAATTGGGAGTAAATGAGATAACCTAGTAAATCTGAATTGCATATTTCAAATTAAATTCTATATACAGTAGAACTTTATGTAAAATTTAACTAATTTACTGGCACAAATGAGAACTTTTCTGCCTACTATTTTCAGTAATACAGAATTTCTTGCAAGCTTCTTATTCTTGATAATCTTGACATGATTAATCTTCCACCAGGCTTTACCAAGCAAAACCAAACCTGCCAGTGTAAAGATTAATCAAAACTCATTTAACTAAGGTTCCATATTATACAAGGTAACTTAAAGAAGGGTACTTTATCAACAAAGACAAGATATTGTAGAATAGTAGAATACTTAGTAGAGCACATAGTTCATTTCACAAATTTATCCTGGATAATCAGGACTCTATTGTATATTTTAAGTCATTAATAATGTTTGTTTGACTGTTTATTTTTCTTTTTTACATGAACACTTTTATTTTATAGTGTTTTGCAAAAACCATGACATTTATTATCAGCAAACAACTATTTCAACGATCAATTAACTCTTCTAAGAGAATTAAATAATTCAATGAATTTTTCCCGTTAAGGAAACAAAATTAGAAGACTAACATACAACAGCAAGTCAAATTGGTAAAACAACAACTGAGTGAGATATAAAAACATTCCTATTGATGCACAAATATTTTATAATTGCAATAAGATCAAGTGATATCCTTTTCGTTGCTTAAATCACATTTAAAAGCCATTCTCTAAGTGTTTGAAAATGATTCTTCAAACAATTTAAAAGTTTATTATTATATTTTCTAAACATTATAAATTATTAATTTAAAAATATTGAAAATTATGATAAATTTAAAAAAGATTCAAATTATACTTGTAAAATTTTTTTGTCTAATTTTAAATCATACAAATTGATTAAATTCATAAATATTTTAAAAGTTTTATTATATTATTATCAACTAAGGACTTATCATATTAATAGGTGTGAGCCCGAGGAGGTTGAGTTCGAAAATTTTTAGGGTTAACATATTTTTTCATTAGAGGATGGAAAAAAAGTATAACGGAAATAGATCGGATGTGGAATCTTACACATCGTCCGTTTGTCAATTAGTCAATGTGCCCGTGTTAATTAGTCAGCATAATGAGTGAACGACCTGTTGGCTCAGTGCCAACGACGATCGTATAAAAACGATCGTCACAGGAAGTTCTGGGCGATCGTCCCCTCAGTGCGACCGTCCCTCCGCGCGATCCTCAGGAAAGTCTGAATATAGTGTCTCCCGTCCTGATCCTGTACGAGGAGAAGCCGGTAGAAGACATAAACCTGTGACAGACAGCCAGCTTCCATAGTTCAGAAGGATCGTCGCATACCGTCCTCCGACATAAGGTATAACTGACTGCCAATATAACTCTCTTTGTAAACTCTCAAGCAACATAGTGAATAGGTAGAGCGATTATAGACATATTTGTATTTCCGCATCTAGCAATAATCAGTAAGTTGTATACTCCTGTAAATTACTTTAGTTATATAATAAACCTTTATTTTGTTATTTGTTAAACCTGTCTCCTGTTTATCCGAAGAAACCTTTCGACTTACTAACGCACTCCCCACTCGATTTGCCCTCCTAGCCATCCAACGACTCCGAGATCGGGCTTTACCAGCCTGTGCAGATTAAGTGGTCAGTACCAGATTAACCCCTGACCCACTGCGTATTTCACATAGGACTATTATACTGGTGTGCTAATTTTTGCAAAGGAGGAATTCTTATTCAGAAAAAATAATTTTTTTTATTTTTCACCTGTTGTTTTCCCTGTACACACAATACACATAATATTTGTGTTTCGGACCACTTCAGCAGGTTTACCATAATGATGTGCTAAACCTGCTGAAGAGGGACCTATTAATATGATAAGTCCTTAGTTGACAATAATATAATAAAATAGTATAATATAATGACATAAAAGCAATTTAATTAATTTTTAAAGTTTCTTTGCATTTATATTTTAATGTTTTTAAAATAAAAGTCAACTGAAAACAGCTTTATAAAACAATGTTATATCAAACTTTTGTAACTTTTTTTGAAGCAAAATCAGAAAATGCCTGATTCAGTGCTTTATTTAGAACTAGCTTACCCATCGCGCATTGCTGCGATCTCAGAAGAAACGAAATTCAAGCAAACTCGTTATGATAAAATTCAATTTACATTTTATTATTTTTATTGAAACTTATTATTATTATTCATTTTCATCGGGAAAACATTTCAAAGTGTCGTTTCAATTCTATTTATTTATTGGAGTGTTTGTGGATACACGATATTTTTTGTTTTTCCCTCTGGTGTGTACACGAATAAATCGGAAGGTTTTTCGACGCGTGAGCCGGCCACATACAGTTGTCCATGCGAGAAGCACGGATTCTCCAAATTTAGCCCACACACTCGCAGCGATTGTCAGAAGTGCGATATTCCCCATTTTTATATATATTTTTTAATCCTTTATAATTTTAATTATTTAATTGCTCCTTCCTCTCTTCCTTGGCATGTTGTGAAATTTCTGATAGTTGGATAATAAACCGTTTTATTGTAATTTGTCTTTTTAAATTATTTTGAGTCGATATTAAAATTTGGAAAAGGGGGGATACCTAGATCGGTAAAATACGCGAATTTCTTCCTACAACTTCGGTTGTTGTTCGGGGTACAGTTAAGGTTTTAACGAAGCTCGAGCGAATACATAATTAGCAAAAAAAAAGTTGAAATAAAGTGATTAAACAAAAATTATTATAAATATCGTAAATAACAGTTCACAAATGCATATATAGAGATATTTTTTGAAGGGTGGAAATGGTCTTAACAATTTGAAATTGATAGAACACACTGTGCGCGAATGCTCGTGTAAACGCGCGCCATCTATCGTAGGATAAATGTACTTCGCAGGAGTGTATTAAAAAATTAAAAAAACTTTCCAAAGTTTCATGGCAATCGTACTATGCCACAAACCTTTGCCGGAGTATATTAAACAACTTCCCAAAGTTTCACAGCAATCGGATAAACGGTGTGGTAATGCATGAAGGACAGACACATATACATTCATTTTTATATATATAGACTAATTATAGAAAATTCTCATGAATAAATCTTTTGGAACATCATAAACTAACTCCATAACTTGACAAATTCTATTTTTCTGCTTACTTGGAGTTATAAAAAAATATAGTTTGTAACATTACTACATGCTTTTGGACTTAGTAATTTTGACCCTGAAAATGGAATAGTATGTTCTATTCAAACATTCTCAGTCATCAGTCTGGCAGATGATGTGTATGTTAAAAATTCTTTCTTCCATCCCACATTCTATTTCTTCTTGATATTACTTCCTCATCACACACTTCCATGCTACCGACAAATTATCCACATATCTCACATTAATAATCTCATCTCTTAAACTTTTACATGAGTTTTAACTTTTTCCATTGTTCATAAGTTCATTTCATTGCAAACCAGTATTACAAGTCTATTTTCACTTCCTTTCTATATGGAACTCATATGGCACCCTCTCAGTTCCTTATTCCTTCATCCTCTTTTTTGTTATAATAATAGTGTGTATATGTTCTATTAATGTGTCTATTTCTTGCCTCCTTAAATTATACATCATCCTTAATCTAAGGACCACTAGTTCTTTCTCTAAATTGTCTTTTCTTGATGTCACTTTTACTGCCTTATGTATCATTGCTCTAAACACTGTTATAGTGTATTGTTTTGGATCATGTGATAATGTAATAATAAAATTTAGAATTGAGAGAGTGCCTGTTCACTATGTGGAATGGAACAATAAAAACATATGGCAAAAAATTGAGAGAGAAAAACCAGAAAAAAAAAGTGCTTTTAAAAGAAACAAGACAATATTTGATATGATATGTTAGTGTTTCCAAAGCCAAAATAACAAAAGTAGAGCAGATTTATGAATTTTATAATACATTTTCTTATTCATAAATAGTAAAGAAAATTTAAATATTAAATTAAGTAACAAATTTATCTTTAAATACAAAAAGGCCAATTAAATCTTACAAATAGCATTCTCTTTTCAAATTTTTAAGGAGGTCCCTTTCAAGAAGCCACATCCATTGTGAAACAATATTTTCAAAAGATGCTTTCAAGGTAATTGAGCATATCAGACATTGTCAAGCACAAATCATATGTCTCGTCTCGTCAATAATAAGATATTTGTAGCCTTAAAAAAAGTCTGTTATATAAATTTAATGTTGACAATATACAGTATTGATTTATATCTCTAAAATCATGTTGCTGTCAATGGCTGCACACCTTAGAGGTATGAAGGAATAAATGTCAGGAGTTGCAATTTGACACAGTATTTGGTGCCCAAATCATGCATACATAAAATAAACCAGATTTGTAGGTAGTCAGAGGACCTAGAATTGGGTCAAAATAAAACACAAAATTCTGAAACTGTTTCTATAAACAGGCATGTGTGTGAGATTTGTGCATGTGTTGATCGCACTCTCAGAGACATAGTCTCATACCAATAATGGCATTGCCATTTTACTTGTTTCATATATGTATGCATCTAAAAATATAATGTATTTAACTCTAACTATATTTTTTGGATCACAGTATTTACAATCTCATCAACTCTTTAACCACAAGATCAATCAAAATTGCCTTAATCTGTTTGAGATTAAATTAGCCAAAGAAAAAGTTGTTTGACTGGTTTTGCTATACAAATTCCTCTTGTAGCCTGAGGGGGAAAAAACAATTTAATCTCCAGGTACATAGAATAAAGAAATTTTCAGAGCTGAAAGAATTAAAGTGCAAACTGAACAGCCATAGCAGTTAAGGCATCCTACTGCTCTGGAGACCCCAAATCAAATCCATATGGTTGAAAATCCTAAATATTTTTTGGGTCATTCTTTCTCAGATATGTTGGGCTAGATTCCTCACCACCTGGCCTACCACAAGGTAATCCTAGTTGAACTTACAATGGACTTGAAAAAATGCCTTTTTAGCATTCACAAGGTATAAAGAAAAGGAAAAAAATAAAAATAGTAACAACAGTAGTCTCATTAAAGTAGTAGTATTCCAAAATTTGAAATTCTGTTAACTCAAAAATTCTTCTCTAGCCTTTCTATTTCAAGTTATTAAGAGTTAACTGTAAAAATTTATAAATATATATTTAATTTTCTATACTATCAATAGAAAATTAAATATGTAAATTCAGACTAAAATTATCATCAAATTTTAGTCTTAATTTACCATTTCTGAATTTAACTTAGTCATATATTTTATTTTCTAATTTATCTTCAACATCTTTCATCATTTACAAATTTAATATTTTTATCATTAATCAGAACATTTTTTAACTTGTCTCTTAACTTTTAAAATAGTTTTTAATTAATAAATTCTTATTGCAGGATTTTATACTATATTTTATGAGTTTGTAAAGTATTTTAAATAAAATATAAAATAAAAAAAAAACAAAGAAAATGTTATTTTCATGAAATAACCACGTCAGTTAATAATTTAAGATTAAATGAATAATTAAAAATTATTTAGATAAAAAGTAGATATCTATTGTATATATTGTCTGAAGAAAAATTACCAGGTCTTTTATGGTCCATGCATGTTGAAACAGTCCTCCATCAACCCAAGGTGGTTCAATAAATGGAATGATAAGTAATAATATCATCATTGACAAAGGTGCTTGATAGTACAGCAACTGCATGGAGTTTACTTGAAATTCTTTTTGTTTTTCTCCAACCCACTATAACAGATTAAAATGAATGATAAATAAATTTATTTATAAACTAGTAATTGAAAATAAAACTACACTTCTTAGATAATTGAAAAATTTTCATTAAGTTCAATTTTTCTATGATTTGTTGTTAATTACTATTATTATTAATTAAAAAAATATATATTTATAATTATTATACATATATAATCATCTTGAATTATGCATTTATTTATTTTTCTTCTATAAAAATCAGGATGACTATAACTATAAATGATGGAACATTCTAAAATATTTACTTAATAACTTACAACTAGTGTTTCTCAAACGGGATTCCAGGATCCCGGTTGTTTTTTTAACCCGGGAAATTTTTCTTATCCCGGGAAATCCCGCAAATTTCTTAAAAATTCACTTTTTTTCTTATTTTGTGTTAAGGTTAAGAAATTTTGCAAATACAAAGCATAATTATCTCATTCACTGTCAGAATACATTTGTATTTATTAATTTTAAACCTACCTATTAGTTTTTTTTAATTTTTGCTCATTATGGCATGTCACAAATGGTCGATAATCAATACGTAGCTTATTTGTGGCAGGACTCTGAAAATTCTTTACTTGTCAGAACCTGTAATATATGGAATAATTGTGCTTACGCTGTCTTAATTTTTAACCATGCCCAGTAGCTTCAATAAATGCGTAACGCCAGATTGTGCAAATTGGGCAAAGATACAAACGAGTATAAAGTCTGCAAGTATGAAGTTTTTCTTCATAAACCTGATTATTAAAGCCAAACGAATTGCCGAATTATTGAGCTATAAGCTTGATGCCGCTATTAAAGCAGCCGAGGTAGACAAATCAAAAATACTAGAGAGCAAAAGAAGTACTACAATCTCGAAAACAAACTCGAAATCTTCCAGGCTACAGGTGAAAAAACACATAATATCTGTCTTCTCTTAAATGCATTAAACACTATTCCAATCACATCAATTGAATCGGAAAGGGCATTCTCGGTGGCAAGACTTTTCATTACTAAAATAAGAATTAGAGTGAGTTATCGGAGTATTGACCATCTTTGCTTTTTAAAATCTTATAAAAGTTTGCAATATTTTGTATTATATTTTATTTAAAAAACGAAAATTACCTTCTAAATTAGAAGTTCATTTTTTTAATTTTTAACTCAATTCAAAACATTTTTTTTGTTGTTGTTGTATGCAGTTTCCAGCAAACTTTAATTAATTTTTTTCTATTTGTGAAAATTTCTACGTTATTTAAAGGTAATTTTTATTATAGGCCTATAGACCTTACACAGCATTATTAATATGATTTTGGATGATACAGAACTTTAAAATTACTTTAAAAAATGAAAAATAATTGTATCATTTAATTTCAAGTATACCTTAAAAATAATTGATTCTATCCCGGGATTTCCCGGGATCCCGGGAAACAGTTCACTTTTATCCCAGAATCCCGGGACAAGCAAAAGACCGGGAAATGAGAAACCCTACTTACAACTGTCTCAGCAAATACTCTAACATTTGTAATTTTAAGTTCTAACAATTTTGTTTGTAGTATTTAAAATAATTATATTTTAACATTCTCTTTTCTATCAGAAATTTGAAAAACATTTATCTTAAATTGCAAATAGTAATGTGTTATATGACATAAATGAATTTGCACAATGTGTATGATGATGACACTTAATTTTAATTATATCGGTAATTGTTATGACAGTTACAATTAAAATTTCCTCATAATATTAAGAAAGTATTTAAAATATAATAACTCCATAGCAGATAAAATATTTTCTTTAAAGTATATACAGGAAATCCTCATTAGTTCAAAATTCATGGGACAAAATAATCGCAACTTCAAATTAACAAGTTTTAAATTATCTCTATTTACATATTTCTGTACAATATCCCAAATGCCACATAACTGATTTAATTTATTAAGCAAATGAAATATAGCTACATATATAGAATGCTATTTTCATTAATAAATAATAATAATAGCATATATAAACTGCAGGTAAACAGCATGTGTCCAGTGAGAACCTCAAGTCGGCAGATAAGTTTTATAAAAAGTAATGCAGAACTCCTCATTATAGCCCAATTTATTTTTAAGTGGCCCAAAAAGTAGCAAGTCACCCAAATGTAGTAGCCTAGACCTACAAATATGTCAATCTACTGTCTGACCAACCCAGAAAGGCACTCCCCTTAGATGAGGGACTAGTTTACTGACCATTGACAGGGATAAAGGTACACCTTGTGACTGGTCAGCATAATTTAACCTATCTACCCATATGTCAACCAGATGCTAGTTGACTCATGCTATACCTCACCTCTGCAAATGATTACTATAGTTCAATGCCTAAGGGGAGTGGCTTCCTGGGTTGGTCAGATTGTACTACTTGTAGCCCAATATTGCAATCTTAAAATCCAGTTGTATTTTGTGAGATAAGAGAAAAAAGGGTAATAAGAGCGGCACCTGAAAATGTGTTACTGTAAAAGCAAAGCCATGTTGACCAGATTAGTTGGGCTATTGTTCTCTTATAGTATGGAAGGACTTCAATCTAAATGAAAGAGTTAACATATGCATATCACAATTCGGACAGAATTTTCACTTCAAATTTCGAACTAACTGAATTCCTTAACATGCAAATTGCTATATCCATGGCTGGGACAAATAGCACAGTTACAAACTAATGCAATTTCAAATGGTTGGAAATGGATTAATAAAGAATATATTACAATATAAATTATGAATGTAATTTCAATTAAATCATTCTTAAAACAACAGTTTATTTTCTAGAAAGCATAACAAGATTTTGCTTCAAGAACATAAATTTATTTTGATATTTCCTAAAATTGTTAAAACAGTTCTTTACTTTTAGTGATTATTTATTTTTGATAGTTGTCTAGAATCATTTTTGAATTTTATGAATGTTTATAATATTGAATAATAAATAAAAAAATGAAATTAATTTGAAATAATTACAGTTAATATTAAAAAAGAATTAACCAAACTTTTGTAATTATTTTATAGTTATATGATAAATCTGTATATAAGAAACTTTATGATGATAGCAGTAATATATTGCTATTAATATCAGACATAATGATCTAGTTTTGTTCCATAGTTTGACCTTGAATTGTTAGTTGTTCTTGAATAAATCATTAATGTCAAGATCTGTCTAGATGTCAGAGCAATAATGTATTGTCTATATTGTGACAGCATATTACAATAATCCTTATCTTTAGTTCTTATAGAATAGCAGTCTCTATTATATTATAATACAATGGTGTTAAATTATTGAAGATAATGTTCATTGGAGACTACATTAAATTGTATGATAATACTGTAAATAAACACTAAATAAATAGATTCTATAAACATGTGTCATTGACAAAAGATTTCCAATCAGAGTTTTCATAACTATTTTTTGTACTTCTTTTATTGTGTTTCAACTGTAGACCCTCCTCAGACTGCAAAACAGACTACGCATTACAACAATTCCAGATTATGACAAATCTTACAAAGTTAAAATATAGCAAAACCTTAGCTTATTATTTGGAATTGTGTATTTTTTTTTAAATAACAAATTTGACTTACAAACAATTGTGCATACTTTTAAAGCTGTATAACATTTATTCTTATATACCAAATTATACTCTAAACAAATGCTTATGGCTCTGTTTAGGACCCACTTTAGGCTTGCATCTAAAAAAAATAAAATGAGAGCAAACTGAGATTTCTGTGTTTCAAGTTGGAGACTGTTTGTAAAAATAAAAACCATTCAACTATCCAGCATAATTCTTTAATTAATTAATAACATAAGAATGTTTTCAAACGTATTAAGCGTTCATCATCAGTTATTTCTCTAATTTGAAATGGGGAATTCGAAAAATTACAGTAATTTTTCGAATTCCCCATTAATTAGAGAAATAACTGATGATGAACGCTTAATGCGTTTGAAAACGTTCTTATGTTATTAAAGAATTATGCTGGATAGTTGAATGGTTTTTATTTTTATTTTTAAGTTTTATTGAAATCCCCAGTAAGCAAGTATACAATCATTTAATTCCAGCTTCAGTATAACTTAGTGATAGCAAATTTGTCAATTCTAATCTGGACTAACATCTCTCTTTAATGAAAGATGCACCAAGTTGTGATAAAGGAAAAGTTACAAAAGGAACTGCAAAGAAAAATTAACATGCTTTTTTAAGCCCAAATTAGTAAGTTAAGAATAATATTACTATTAATACTTTTGAATACTTTGTCAAACCATTTATTTTTTTCATTTAAAGTGCATAATAAAATTTAAATTTAAATAAAGAATACTTTTCGGACCATACCAATATGCATTTGAGTAAAAACTTTACTAGTTCAGACTAGGCTTTCCCAATTAGTTGGAATTAATGAGATTCTATCATATAGCACAGTGGTTCCCAACCTTTTTTCATTAGCGTACCCCGTGACATGTCATATCTCTAGATTGTACCCCTTGACATGTCATATCTCTAGATTGTACCCCTCATTTAAGAAATTTAGTGAGTAATCGTATTGTTAATTTTACATATTGTAACTTTAAATTAAAGAAAAAAAACCTAAAAGAAAAAATGTATAATAAAGTTGTGATTGTTGCAAGGAACATTTTTTATCTAATAATTTTTTAATACTATTAGTTTGTGATACATAATATATTATTTTTTCTGCCATAATAACTAACTTTTTTCTGTACCCCTAAACAACCTATCGCGTACCCCTAGGGGTACGCATACCACAGGTTGGGAATCGCTGGTATAGCAAATCATTATTGTTGACAAGAATAGATGTCACATTTGATAGCCACCATACACACACCCCAACAGCATCACAATACATACAAATAATGTACTGTACTTTACATTTATATTAGTGATTAAAAATGCATAAATTGCTTTTATCTTAATAAAAAAATTGCTTAAATTTAACACCTGTACTTTTGTAATAAAATGAAATTTTTTCTTGAAATGTTTATATTGTAGATCCTCATATATTTTCAACATCTGAGAATACCAGTCTCCTGTGCTTTTACATCTTATCTGGTGGGCTCACTCCTACCAATGCCATACTGAAAATTAACAATAAGCATTCTAAGTGCCATTTTCTTTTTAAATAATATAACTGCATCCCTTAATACTTTATGTACTCTAGTAGCAACAGGTCAACATAACTGACCTTTTTAAATTTTTCTACTCAAAATTTTTTAAACATACAAAAAAATACATAAAAAGAAAAATATTTAAAAATATAAAATGAAAAGTTTTTTATTCATATAACATATTTATTACTATATTCCATATTATATTAACATCATTACATACTAGATTTATCTTGCTGTCTTCTTTTTTAATATATAAAAACTCTGAAAATTTCCTTTTAAATATATTTTTAATTAATTTCAATTATTGTTAAGTGTAAGTAAATAGCTAAACTATCACATTTTAACCTGATTGCTGGATTATGTTCACTATTTTTGTCTACTAGTCTCTCTCACAAAAGCAAAAAATAATGTTACAAATGTTGTATTAATGTTTAAAGGCAAATAATACCAGATTATATTTTGTAACAATGAATAAGTAGAGAGTAAAAGGAAAGAATTAATATAAATGAATAATTACAAGGAAATAAAAAAAAAACTATTAGTCAAATTAAAGAACTAAACAAATTACTCAATGCAGAGAAAAAAGAAAAAATATCAACATGTAAGGATATAGAACATATTTCAGATTGTTATAGAATATCAAAGTTAAATGTGCATTATAAAACCCATAAAAAAGGGCAAAAGTGTATGCCCTTAGTTGATTTTAGATATTCTGTACTATATAATTTAGAAAGTTTTTTGAAGAAATTATTCAAAATGACAGATGATTTAGAATATAGTGTAAAAAATGTCAATGAGTTTATTAAAAATTTAAATAGTAATAACTGTATGTTATCTTTATATGTAATCAATATGTATCCATCAATCCCTCAAAGATATAGAATATTTAAGTTAAAAGAAAATGTGAATGTAATAAATATAGTTAAATATTTACTAGAAAAGAACTTTTCTTTGTAAATAATAATAAAATAATATATAAATAAAATGAAGATGTAGCTATGGATCAGTCACAGGTCCAAAATTGGTAGAAGTGTTATGACTAACTTAATACAGATAAAAATTACTGGTTCTTCCAGATATTCAGTTTATTTCAGAGTAGGTCAATGACATTTTTATAATATATAATTCCAAAAAAAAATTATAAAAGTATAGATATGTTAAATCATGCTTATAAGTTAGGTGAAAATATTAAATTTAAATCAGAAAATAATAATATAATTAATTACTGTGATATAAATAAAATAATCTATCCTTTGAAAGATTTTATAAAAAGTAATGTAACGTGTTTAAACAATTAATTATTGTTCTCAAATACTAATATATGTGGAGTATAACATTTAAAATTGATATCTTGTGAACTCTAAGTAGAATGACTGACCCCAATATAAAAGAAATGGAAGTTAATAATATAATATGAAAAACGCAATTGAACATCAATCCAATGAGAACTTTGAATAATTTGTTAGAAAATATTTATATAAACAATAAATGATTTAAATAATTTGATATTAAAAAACCATAAACAATTTAAATAATTTGACTTTAATACCAAATTATTTATCCAATGAAATTTAAATCATTTGTTTATATAAATATTTTCTAACAAATTATTCAATGTTCTCATTGGATTGATGTTTTGAAGATTAATTTTAAAATTTACAGTTTAATTAAAATATTGAAAATAAAAATAGTTCATTAAACCAATCACAATATACACAGGTAGATGTAATTTATAAATCTGTGTATCACATAGGTTCACTTATGTTGGATAGTATATTAGGCAAGTATAAGATTGAGAACATAATTCAGTAGTTGAGGTTAAAATGCAATAGTTCAGCCATTTACTTGCACATACAACACCACGATTGTATTATCAATTATGTATCTACATTGAGAATTGTAAAAAAAAAATGTATTTAAAAGGAAATTTTTGGAGGCTTTCCAAATTAAAAAAAAAAAATGAATGAATTCCCCATTAATTAGAGAAATAACTGATGATGAACGCTTAATGCGTTTGAAAACGTTCTTATGTTATTAAAGAATTATGCTGGATAGTTGAATGGTTTTTATTTTTATTTTTAAGTTTTATTGAAATCCCCAGTAAGCAAGTATACAATCATTTAATTCCAGCTTCAGTATAACTTAGTGATAGCAAATTTGTCAATTCTAATCTGGACTAACATCTCTCTTTAATGAAAGATGCACCAAGTTGTGATAAAGGAAAAGTTACAAAAGGAACTGCAAAGAAAAATTAACATGCTTTTTTAAGCCCAAATTAGTAAGTTAAGAATAATATTACTATTAATACTTTTGAATACTTTGTCAAACCATTTATTTTTTTCATTTAAAGNTTAATATTTTTCTTTTTATGTATTTTCTTGTACAGTGTTTTAAAAATTTTAAGTTTTTATATTATAATAATTTAAAAGGGTTAGTTATGTTGACCTGCTGCTATCAGGGGATAGATTATTATTTAAAAATGGAAGAAAATGGCACTTAAGAGGGCAGATTGTTAATTCTCAGTGTGTCATTGATAAAGTGAGTCCATCAGATAAGATGTAAAGGTAGAGAAGACTGGTCTACATGGATGTTGGAAATATATGAGAACATGCAATGTAAATATTTAAAAAAATATATTATAGTATGTATACATATGTTACAATTTAAACAATTTTCTAAAGATTCATGTTTAGCATCTTGGAAATCCCCCCAAGTTCATGTTTTGTGCTTACTAAGAATGCAATACTTAGCTGGTATGAAATAGTGCAATTTCATTGGTCAGGTACACAGGAATGGATGTTTTTCAGCAGAAAATAGTCTGATTTCAAGCTGCATGAGAAGATAATTCAAGACAACCAAATTTTTTCTAATGCTAACTTCAACATATCATTCACAGCTAAATATGAAATAGTAATTGTCCAACCAATTAAATTTCATGAAAAATGGACCAAGTATTTAAACTCAGCACCCTCAAAAACCCTTTAAAAATATCTTGTGCTCACTGGTAACTTTGTATTAAGTAATTTTCCTACTGAAATACCACCATCCCACTGATCAGATAGAAAGTGATCCCATTGAGAATCTAAGATAGTTTGAGAATATGAATGAAAAAAAAAATAATAATAATAATAATTAAAAGATAAAGCTAAACTGGTAACAGGCTTTGAAAGACAAAGATGAAAGACAAAGATGAAACATTTCAGAGGACATATATAAAAAGAAATAGTAAAAAGTGTTTCATACAGAGTAAAGGCTTTAGCAGAGGCTAAAAAGCACAAAACTAGTAGTTATGTTAGGTTTTTAATAAATAGAAGTTATTTATAGATTAACAGGTGTGTAAATATTAATGGCAAGATATTGAATTATGTATTTTAGCAATATTTGATAAAACTTTGAAAATGAAAATTGTATATGTATAATTTCAACATTATACATATATTACAAAATTATATATATATGTATATGTATAATTTCAACATAAATATTTATGCTAAAAGAATGTATTTTAATTATAATGTTTCAATTGATACTCCTTTTCTAAGATAGAATATTTTTCCAAATGGTTAATTTCAGTTAAAAATAAACAATTTAAATAACAAATCTAACACATTTTCTATTAACTTTATACATTTATAGATATTCCTTCTCAACACAATTGACATTTCAAAATTGATAATCAAACTGAAAAATTGTCCTTACTGTCTGAAAATTAGAATTTCAGACAGTAAATTTGAAGATATTTTAGACATATAATCAATACATTTGAAATATTGATTTTCAATCAATAATAAAAATAATACAATAATGTATCACTACTTACTACTTGATACAAGGACGTAACCACCACCCCAGCCGATGCATAGGTTGTGCCCAAAGCATTAAATTTGATGTCATAACAAGAATTCAAAACAACACCCAATGTTAATGGTAGCTGAAAAAATTTTAAATTAAAATAAATAATAATACATATATACATTTAAAATGAAAATGGAATTACTCTCTCTCTCTCTCTATATATATATATATATAATTTTAATTTTCATTTTTAATTTCATAAGAATAAAATTTGTCCTAAATTTACTTTATAAACAGGATAACCAGAATAATTGAATGCTGATAAACCTGTTCTGAGTGACATTAATAGAGAAATATTCTTACCAATGTAAATTTGATCTTCCAAGAGAATTTTCTTCCGTAAAAATATGTCTGTATATACATGATACATGGCATTGTCATAGTTTTAATAGTCTGATAAGTACCGACTGTATTATGGCCTAAGGAAAGGTTAGTTAATACGACGAAACCACAAAAAGCAGTGGCTAACGGCATCACTTTGATCACTGGAAGCACTTTCGATTGAAAGAGGGACAATTTTTGACAGATAACCAATCCTAAAGAAGTAACAGCAAAATGAATAAATGTCATAGTTACATTGGGAAAGCCTATCTGTACATAAACCCATTTGTTTAACAAAACAATTATGATGGCAAGAAGTACATTTAACCCTAGACACAGAGTGGTTGTTGTCGGATTAGGATTCTTCATTATTGTGACCTCACGTTGACATCTCTCACATACAGAATAGACATGAATTTCACGTTTTCTCGCAGCACATTGCAAGCAGCGCCATCTGAAATAATTTCTTATGTATTAAAATTATAAATAATTTTTAAAAATTTTTGTATATGTTACCGCTAAAGCTCGAAAATCGTTAATCTGCAGATTAACTAGGGTGATCCGTTAAAGTTGCTAAAATTGTTCTATTTCTCAAATTACCTAGGTAATGTGCAGATTATCTAGGTAATCTGCAAATTACCTACTAGGCAATTGGTAAAGTGAAAATAAGATCTTTGCCGAAACAACAGCAACGTTTCTGTACGCTTAAATTAATTAACATAACGTTCTTTATTTAATTTTCAATATCTAAAGAATCAAGTTAATACAATCAAACAATCGACAAATTAGTTGATAGAATCAATCACCAACCAATTAAAAACATACAAAAAATCAAACGATTTAAAATATTAATACAATTAGGGAAATTATTATACAGATAATCACCTATGGAATTTCGGGACTTTGAGTATTTATCTGAACTGAGGGACCGAGACGACTTCAACGATACCCTACTTTTGGACCGGAGACGAAAAATAATAAAGTTATCATACTTTTTCTAGTGATCGCATGATATAATTGTGCAGTTAATGTTACCTATGGTGAGTAAAATGGCGGCTCGTCTCTGATTCCAGCAAACAGAAGAAAGGAAACAGTGGGGACGCACGTTCTAACCTAACCTATTCTAATAAATTATCATAATTATTACCAACCAAATTATTAGAATAGGTTAGGTGAAGTTAGGTTTGAACTGCGTCCCCACTGTTTCCTTTCTTCTGTTTGCTGGAATCAGAGACGAGCCGCCATTTTACTCACCATAGGTAACATTANATTCATGTCAACACTAGACGGCTGGATAATCGAGTGCTTTTTTTTAACGCTTTCCACCTAATGGGCACTAAGAGAGAGCCTCTTTTAGCAAGCCCATTATGGATTCTATCAGGCCCACAATGGGACAGCCGGGTGGTTACGGACGGGAGCCGACATATCCGGCCGGGTATTGATAGTCGGGCATAATGAGCTTGTTAAAAAAATTCTCTTGGTATGTGTGCATGCAGGACGAAAATAATTTTTTTTTTTTTAAATAGTATGTCAACACTTTTTAAGACTAATTTTTAGACTAATTCATATTTTTGTTATTAATTTTTTTAGTTGTAGATATAACATCGATTAAACAAAACTAATAGTATATATGTTACCGCTAAAGCTCGAAAATCGTTAATCTGCAGATTAACGATTTGGAACAATTTTCACAACTTTAACGGATCACCCTAGTTAATCTGCAGATTACCTAGCTAATCTGCAGATTAACTAGGGTGATCCGTTAAAGTTGTGAAAATTGTTCCAAATCGTTAATCTGCAGATTAACGATTTTCGAGCTTTAGCGGTAACATATATACTATTAGTTTTGTTTAATCGATGTTATATCTACAACTAAAAAAATTAATAACAAAAATATGAATTAGTCTAAAAATTAGTCTTAAAAAGTGTTGACATACTATTTAAAAAAAAAAAAATTATTTTCGTCCTGCATGCACACATACCAAGAGAATTTTTTTAACAAGCTCATTATGCCCGACTATCAATACCCGGCCGGATATGTCGGCTCCCGTCCGTAACCACCCGGCTGTCCCATTGTGGGCCTGATAGAATCCATAATGGGCTTGCTAAAAGAGGCTCTCTCTTAGTGCCCATTAGGTGGAAAGCGTTAAAAAAAAGCACTCGATTATCCAGCCGTCTAGTGTTGACATGAATTTTCTTGTGTGTCAAAATACATTTTTCCAAAAATTTATTCCACATACAGAAAGTGACTTTTCGCCTAAAATATTTTTTTCAGTTAATAAAAATAGCGATTCAGTTTGAGATTCTCCATTTATAATTAAAAGAGATGTCACAAAACTTTATGATATAAACGTAATGATAACAAATACAGTATGTGCAATATTAACTAAATTTATTCACTGCTAAATTAGATTTGTGACTATGACAGTAAAAAAGCCCACTACAAAATTTTGAAAATAAATTACTACAAATAGACACTGCATAAATTTATTATTATTCAGAGAAAGTAATTTATAGATATGATTTTTTAAAATTTAGACACTATTATACATCATTAATACAAAAGTACTTTATTATTTTTTTAACTTTTTCCGCCCTGTGGGGACTAAGAGAGCCTCTTTTAGCGCGCCATTATGGGTTTTAAGTATTAAAGTTAATACTGTACTGTATTTTGAATCCATAATTTTTTTTAAAAAAATATTAACACTATTTCAGAAACTGTTAAATAACGTAAAATTAAAATTAATTAGTTACATATAATTATTTTTTAAATAAGCAATTATTATAAAAATTTATTATTTAGCTTTATTTAAAGCGTTGCAATTAAAAAATAATAACTTCATAAATGTTCTTCCAGGTGGCGTTAAGAAATAGAAAATCGTCTGTTGCAGACTTTGTTTATATACAAAAAATATATACTTTTTCGAGTTGAAATTTGAAATATTTTGTTTTTGTTATAGAATATTAATATAAATCAAGAAAAGCAAACAAAAAGTGAACAATTATAAATGTTTTCGCAGCAATTATCACAAATATCTACAAGTGACTTTCTTCAAAGTAATCCTACGTAAGTACAGTACATATTTATTTTATACAATATAAAATACCAAACACAAAAAGTGATGTATATCAAACATTGTTATACATAAACACATATATAAGTAGTTTTTTTTAACTCTTTCCGTCCTGTGGGCACTAAGTGGGCCTCTTTTTGTAAGCCTATTATGGGTTCGGCCAGGCCCACAGTGGGGCTGCCGGGTGGTGAGGGTCTGGGCCCAACATATCCGAACGGACCACCCCCGAAAAATTCCTGGGGATTTTTCGACCCGTTCGGATTCGAATTTGGGTCCCCCAGAGTGGTAGGCTGCCACCTTGACCACTCGGCCATCCGACTGTCATATATAAGTAGTAGTAGTGGTTTGGGCCAAGGACTATATACTACAAGGATAGCCAGATCCCTATTCTACAATGTTAGCCAGGAATGCCAAGTTAGTGACGTCATGTAGAGACCTGACCTCTCTGTTTACATAGAGCAGGGTGTGCACGTGTTTAGTTTTCGCTTTTAATATTCGTCCAATTTTGTGATTAACGAAGTGATTTATTTTAATATTTCTGTAATTGTTTTATTTGACTAAGTTTTTTATAAGGTAAGATGATTTAAATATAAGTCATTAAATATTTAAAGCTATATTTTTATGTTAGGTGAAGAACAAAAT